AGCCAGCTCGAAGGCTTGGCACACAGGCAACAACACCAACAACCAGCGATAAGAACCAAACACGACCGAAAGACGCAACAACTCGACACGACTGCAAAGTAGCATATTCCATAGCTGGGTGATAGATGGATTCCTGTATGGCAGACATATAGACGGGTTGTAAGGACGGAGCATATCGGAGATAACATATGTATACGGAAAGATAGAAGACGGGGGTTTTCTATGGTCATGGTAAGATATCGACTATGGCTCGATTGTGTAGCGAGGACATGGATGTCCAAGGGATATCATGGCTTGTCCCAGAAGGTCACGACTTGCATTTGGCCAGTAATGGCCCACAATGGCTTACCATATATTCGATTGGCCAGTCTTGCGCGGCTACAGTTGGCCATGATTGGTCGGGCATGGCTAAGAGCGTCGAGTCAGTGGCTTGGTCATAGATCATGGGCGAGGGGTGCTTGGAACCATATGGTGGTATTCCAGGGCATCGTACGTGACTTGCGCGAACGGTGTGAGCGCAAGCAAAGAGTGGGCTCTTCAATTTTGAGGGGTCAAAAGTACTTAAGGGTTGGTCCACAATGTAGGGCTCGATTTTAGAAAAATGTGGGAACTGGTTTCACATTTTTCTGATGTCGTATGAATTTGTTATGAATTTTTGAAGTTTAAATCATCACTGAAAATGGGAAAAAGGCTGATTAATCCTAGGCTGACACGTGTCACACTGTGACTGGTCCACGCGGCATGCTGACGTCAGCGTGATGTCAGCATGACGTCATCATCTCGATTCCGAGCTGACAGGTGGGGTCCTACTGACGTCATCAACGTCATCAGTTCTGACAGGTAGGGCCAGGGTCTCTTGGGTCACTGACTTGTGGGTCCGGTCAAAGTCAACATCAAGTCAACAGGCGAGTCAACGGTCAACGGATCACAGTCACTGACGTGTGGGGCCAATGCTGCTGATGTCAGTAGCTAACGTCATCGTGACGTCATCATGACGTCTCCTCGGCTACGTTTGTTACTGACAGGTGGGACCCGCATGACATCGTCATGACATCAGCATGACGTCACTTACTGAGGTGTGGGTCCAGAGTCTCTGTGCCGCTGACATGTGGGGCTAGGTCAACAGTCAACATTGACCGGTCAACGGTCAACCAGGTTAGGTCTCGACTGGGCTTTGGTGGGCCTGGACGGGGCTGGATTTGGGCCGGGCCGGTCCGGACATGTGGCATGCTGTGGCGCTGCCACGTCGTAGCCAAGGGCCTCCACTGGGCTTCGTCCACCATTCGGCCCACCCTGCGTGGTTCACGGTGACTGGTGTTCACGGTCCATGGACCGTTGGCTGGTCTTCGGTGGACCGAGTCCACCCTTCTTCCCTCTGGCCTGGTTCACGTGCACCGGGTGCAGGCGCGTGCGGCCGACGAGGAAGGATTCCTCTGCTTCCCTCCTCGACGTGTTCCCGCTGGTGGTGTGCTCACCAGCGAGCTTCCACAGCGGCGTTGGCATCCAATTGAGGTGGGGAAAAGCTTTGCCAGGCCCCGGCGAGTATGGTGGTGGGGTCAAGGCGGCGGCCAGGGCTTCCCAGGGCGTTGGCCACAGTGATCGACGGCTCGGTCATGGCGGTGCTTGCCGGCGGGGCTTCTAGGGGCTGTTCCAGGGGTCCTGGTGCCCCATTCCCGTTTCAGGCGGCTAGCGGGCGACAGGGTAAAGTGTCGACGATGACCAAAGGGCGTGGCGGAGTCCGCATGCGGTGGTGGTGCACGATGGAGCTCCGGCCGGTGGTCTGGTGCTCGTGGCCAAGGCGCTGCGACCGGCTATCGGGGCCTCGGTCTACGCGACTACCCTCCATGCATCACGGTGGTGCTACGACTATTTCCTAGTCCGGCGAGGCGGCCGGGTGCGCGAGTGGTGGCCACGACATGACGGCGGCGGCGTGAGCATGGCATGCGTGTGCTCTGCTACGGCGTCCAAGGGCTAGGAGGAGGTCTCAGCCAAGAGACTCACCGAGTGGCGCTGGCGGCGTTCGGTGGTGGTGCGGTGGCGAGGCGCGTTGTCGGGGTAGGCGCTCAGGGCGGCGCTCCGGCTCTAGTGATCGGCGTCTCTGAGCTCTCTGCTCGCCTCCCTCTTCCGAACTCCTTCTCGGCCCTCTTCTCTCGGTGTGGTGTTGGCTGCTGGGCCACCGAGCGGCGGCGGTGGCTGAGGAATTCCCTAGGGCGCTCTGGCGTCGCTTTTATAGCCCCGGTGCCCGAGCTTCATCCATGGTGGACGGGGCGGACGGCTGGCGATGCGTCGAGGGCATCGAACTGTATCGCGGGCGTGGGTGATTGGCGCAGAGGTTGCATGGGCGCGGCGCCAAGGGGACAGGGCCAGGTGATTCGCGTGACCCCGGGCCCGCGCCTGTCACTTTGGTCGGGTCTCGGTAGGAGGCGGTGCCGGCGTGGGGAGGGAGATGACACTGTGGCGGGGGTGGCTGACACGTGGGGTCGAGTTAGCGTGACAATGACGAAAGAAAGCGGCGTGGCGTGAAGGCGTGAAGCGGTATTTGGCTAGCTAAGCTAATGGTCCGGTCTCTTTGCCCGCCGCCGCAAGCAAGCCGGGCTGACTTGTTGGGCCGATTGCTCTATCGCTTCATGCGTGGGCGGAAGAGGATGGGGTGGCGAGTGGCCGAGGGAGAGAAGGGCGGCGGTCAAGGCAGGCGGGTAAATGGGCCACGGCCCGAGTGGGAGAGGTCGGCTGGGCTTCTTGGGCGCCTTTGGGCTGTTGTTTTGGCCATTTCTTTTTCCCCCTACCATTTCCTTCCTCTTCTATTTCTATTTCCTATTTTCTAAATAAACCAAGGCTCGTGTATTGTATACATGTGTCGCCAACATGTACACCTCCTGGTGAGGTCCACTAAAGGTCAACTAGGGGTAGTGGGGTCCATGTCAAGGGTTGGCAACTCACGGGCATTGAGTTGATGAAGATAGTTGGTTGATTATAGAAATTAGGTCAAGGGATTCATGAGAGATTCCAGAAGGAGTCAAAAGGATTCGCTACGGACTTGTGCTCTCCAACACAAAACCCTAAACCAAATAAGGAACTCTGGCAAGCTCCTACAAGCATCACTATATGTATGCAACAATTTATTTATAAATTGTTCTTTGTTTGACCTAGCATCTACATGCTTCGCATATTGCAGGAAAATTTTTAAAAAGTTCGTATTTTTTGCTTCACCAAAAACCCGGTTTGTTACATGTTACTTATGGCTCGAGATTGTAAGACAAATACAGATGCATTTGCATCAGAACCAAGGAATTGAAATTAAACTTTTCTGGATTTGCTGATTTTTCAGAAGTGCATTTTGAGATGAATAAGATAAGAAACAGTACAGGGAATCAATATATTGAGGGAAACAGTACATCTTCATGAGTGTTAGAACATCTTTAATCTCTACAAAAGCAAAGAATTAAACTAAATGGAGATCATTTCATTCCAGGGTCACCTACAAGGAAGTGTTTGAATGTTACAACCATAAGTTGGTTTTAGAAGTACAAATGGATCATGTCGTCGTAAATTGCACACAGGACATGTCGTAAATAATAAAATAATAATAATAACACAACATGTGTTTGTGTTACAACCATTGGTTGGTTTTAAAAGTACAAGATGGTATTAGACCTAGGAATATATACTCACTCTTAACAAGGGATTATTGGAGATTCATTATGCATTCCACTGGTACATCTGAAAAAGCAGAGATCTTTAGAAGGAAAACGATAGGGAAAAAAAATCTTATCATGGTGACAACAAGAGGCCATCTATGTACATCTAATGGTCTGACGATGATGGAGGCCATCTGTGTACATCTAATGGTCTGACGATGATGGATTCCTCAAACACTAACGCATTTACTATCCAAAGCATCAGTGTACATCTCTTCAATAAACATGAATATTATTGAAAAAGGGTTTGGCGAGGAGGGGAAAAAGGGGAGTTCCATGTATCGCCCATGTTTACCTCATGAAGAAGCCGTGCCCTGCACTCGAATCTGAATCAAAGCTCAACGGGATGCATCCTGCACTGGAACCATCAAATCGAATCAAGAAGGGGAAGGGAAAGTGAAGGGAAATGACAAGAAGATGATATGGAGGAGATGGAGACGGGATCTGGAGGAGGAGCACCTGGATCTGCAACCGGCGTTCAAGGAGCACACGCGGCAACGTCGGTAGCGGCGGCACGCTAGCGGCAGCGGCACCGTTTCTTTCTTCTCCTTCTTGGCACGGCGTTGCGGCGGCGGCGCGGGCGAGGGTGGACATGGTCCGTGCGACGACGAGGGCGAAGAATGGCAGCGCGGCGCTTTTCAGGTTTGCCTTCTGCCAATGATGGGAAAGGATGTCGTGGATTGTACGTGATTGGATTGCAAGAGGATCACGTGATTGGAGGAGGAGATCGCGCACGCCCGGGAAGCGAACGGCGAGCGAGCATCACACGTGACCGGGAAAAATCATCGCCGGCCGTTCCTGGAGCTCCCGCCGAGCGGGCGGAGGCCTGAGGCTGAGCGGGCCCTAGGGTTCCGGCCGAGGCCCGAGGCTTCGGCCGGTGGCGGCGGCGCAGGGCGAAGCGGCATGCGCAGTGGTGGCGTTCGTAGGGTGGCGCGCGCGGCTGGCGACGAAATGCAAGCGAACGAGGGGCGAGGGAGATCGGGCGGTTTTCGTATTAAATATCATCCGGGCCCAGGATTTCGCATGTCTACGGCAGACGGACGAACCAAGGAATTGTCGCACCAAAACGATGTCCATCTTTTAGTCTTTTTAGTTGTGAGAGATATACAGCCTAATCTTGAGCCTATGTGGAAGGAAAGGAGCAACTCCCTACAATCTAGCCCACACCCTACAATCCAGCTCGGCCCACTGTCCCATCTTCTTCGCCCGCTTCTGTTCCTCCTCTCCTCATTCCCCCTCGCGGAACGAAAAATATCCCGAACAAATTCCTGGCTAAACCCTCCCCGCTGCTCCGTCGCCGCCATGGCGCTCTCCAAGCCTCTCCTCTCTCGCCTCCTCCCCCTTCCCCTCCGCCTCCGCCCCCAGGCCTGCTTCCTCTGCCTCGCCACCCCGACGTCGACCCCGACCCCCGCCCCAATCGACGACGCGCATGCCCCCGCGGACGCCGCCGCCGAGCGCCGCCGCCGCAAGCGCCGCCTCCGCGTGGAGCCCCCTCTCTCCCGGGGGCCCGCGCCGCAGCGCGCGCCGGGGGCTCCCCGCCCCGCGTCGAACCCCAACGCGCCCAAGATCCCGGAGCCGGCCTCGGTGCTCTCGGGGAAGCGCCTCGACCTGCACCGCCGAATCCTCACGCTCATCCGCGAGAACGATCTCGACGAGGCGGCGCTCCTCACGCGCCACTCCATCTACTCCAACTGCCGCCCCACCGTCTTCACCTGCAACGCCGTCCTCGCCGCGCTGCTCCGCCAGGCCCGCTACGCCGACCTCCTCTCCCTCCACCGCTTCGTCACGCAGGCCTCCGTCGCGCCCACCGTCGCCACCTACAACCTCCTCCTCCAGGCCTACTGCGACTGCCGCCGCCCCGACGTCGCGCTCGAGCACTTCCGCCTCCTTCTTAAGGACGACTCGCCCGTGCTCCCCTCCCCCACCACATACCGCATCCTGGCGCGCTCCTTCGCCGAGAATGGCAAGCTGGACCAGGCGCTCGAGCTCAAGGATGGCATGCTCGAGCGCGGCCTCATCGCCCCTGATACCCAGGTCTATGCCTTCATCATGGGCGGGTTTGTCAATGCCGGGGACGGTGACAAGGCAGTTTCGTTGTATGAGGAGCTCAAGGAGAAGCTTGGTGGGGAGCCTATTCTTGATGGCGTGGTGTACGGGAACTTAATGAAAGGGTATTTTCTCAAGGGCATGGAGAAGGAGGCCATGTATTGCTATGCAGAGGTGCTTGGAGAGGGTTCCAAGGTGAGGTTCAGTGCCGTGAGTTACAACATGGTGCTTGATGTGCTCGGGAGGAATGGGAGGTTGGAGGATGCACTCAAGCTGTTTGATAGAATGTGCATGGAGCATGACCCATGGGACGATTGCTGTGAACCTTGGGAGTTTTAATGTGATGGTTGATGCATACTGCCGTGCTGAAAGGTTTCAAGATGCGATTGAGGTGTTTGGGAAGATGGCCGAGAAGAGGTGTGCTCCAGATGCACTCTCCTACAATAATCTGATTGACTGGCTAGGGAAGAATGATCTTGTTGGGGAGGCTGAGGGATTGTACAAGGATATGGGTGAGCAAGGTGTAAACCCTGATGAGTACACCTATGTCTTGCTCATTGAGTCTTGCTTTAAGGTTGATAGGGTGGAAGATGCAGTTGCTTACTTCAACAAGATGTTTGATGCTGGTCTGAGGCCCAATGCAAATGCATTTAACAAAGTCATAGGTGGCTTGGTGAAGGTTCATAGGCTCAGCGAGGCACAAGGGTTCTTTGACATGATGCCTGAAAAGGAGGTCAAACCAAACATTGCTAGCTATGAGTTGCTGTTCAAGGCATATATTGATGCTGCAAGGTTGGATGATGCGATTAAGATAGCCAAAGGTATTCTGTTGGACGAGAGTGTCGTCTTTAGTGATGAAATGAAAGCACTTCTGGAGGAGGCACTGGACAAAGAGGGGAGAGATGGGGAAATGGCAAAGTTATATGAAGATGTTGAGAGGGAGAAAGAAGAGGCGGCTGCATGTGCAGCTGAAGAGAAGGCTAGAGCTGAGGCTCTTGCTAAAGAAGAAGAAGAGACGAAGAAGGCTGAGGCAAAGGCTAAGGAAGAAGCGGCTGCCAGGGCTAGCCGAGCAGCTATTGAGGCAGTGCTGGGTCGCAAGAAGGAAGCAGAAAAACAGGAACCAGTTGATGGACTGAACGTTGAGGAGGCAGAGGTTGTGGAATCCAACAATGACACCAGCGATGCTTCTGGAGAACTGAGTGAAGGCGATGAGCAGAAAAAGCAAGAGTCTGCTGAAGCCTCATCGTGTTCTTAGCTTCGTCATTTTTATAGGTTTCTTTCTATCATGAATGATCTTTAGTTCCATTTCA